GTTAAGAGCTGATTTCTCAGCAGAAACTCTACAAGCCAGAAGGGAGTGCCATGATATACTTGAAGTGATGAAAGGGAAGAACCTACAACAAAGATGACTATCTGGCAAGGATCTCATTCAGATTCAATGGAGAAATCAAAAGCTTTACAGACAAGCAAAAGCTAAGAGAATTTAGCACCACCAAACCAGCTCTACAACAAATGCTAAAGGAATTTCTCTAAGTGGGAAACACAAGAGAAGAAAAGGACCTACAAAAACAAACCTAAAACAATTAAGAAAATGGTCATAGGAACATACATATCGATAATTACCTTAAACGTGAATGGATTAAATGCTCCACCCAAAAGACACAGGCTTGCTGAATGGATACAAAAACAAGACCCATATATGTGCTATCTACAAGAGACCCACTTCAGACCTAGGGACACATACAGACTGAAAGTCAAGGGATGGAAAAAGATATTCCATGCAAATGGAAATCAAAAGAAAGCTGGAGTAGCAATACTCATATGAGATAAAATAGATTTTAAAATAAAGAATGTTACAAGAGACAAGGAAGGACACTACATAATGATCAAGGGATCAATCCAAGAAGAAGATATAACAATTATAAATATATATGCACTCAACATAGGAGCACCTCAATACATAAGGCAACTGCTAACAGCTATAAAAGAGGAAATCGACAGTAACACAATAATAGTGGGGTACTTTAACACCTCACTTACACCAATGGACAGATCATCGAAAACGAAAATAAATAAGGAAACAGAAACTTTAAATGACACAATAGAACAGATAGATTTTATTGATATTTATAGGACATTCCATCCAAAAACAGCAGATTACTTTCTTCTCAAGTGCGCATGGACCATTCTCCAGGATAGATCACACCTTGGGTCACAATTTGAGCCTCAGTAAATTTAAGAAAATTGAAATCATATCAAGCATCTTTTCTGACCACAACGCTATGAGATTAGAAATGAATTACAGGTAAAAAAAAAAACACAGACACATGGAGGCTAAACAATACGTTACTAAATAACCAAGAGATCACTGAGTAAATCAAAGAGGAAATCAAAAAATACCTAGAGAAAAATAACAATGAAAACACAACGACCCAAAACCTATGGGAGGCAGCAAAATCAGTTCAAAGAGGGAATTTTATAGCAATACAAGCCTACCTCAAGAAACAAGAGAAATTTCAAATAAACAATCTAACCTTACACCTAAAGGAACTAGAGAAAGAAGAACAAACAAAACCCAAAGTTAGCAGAAGAAAAGAAATCATAAAAATCAGAACAGAAATAAATGAAATAGAAACAAAGAAAACAATAACAAAGGTCAATAAAACTGAAAGCTGGTTCTTTGAGAAGATTAACAAAATTGATAAACCATTAGCCAGACTCATCAAGAAAAAGAGGGAGAGGACTCAAATCAATAATATTAGAAATGAAAAAGGAGAAGTTACAACAGACACTGCAGAAATACAAAGCATCCTAAGAGACTACTACAAGCAACCCTATGCCAATAAAATGGACAACCTGAAAGAAATGGACAAATTCCTAGAAAGGTATAACCTTCCAAGACTGAACCAGGAAGAAATAGAAAATATGAACAGACCAATCACAAGTAATGAAATTGAAACTGTGGTTAAAAATCTTCCAACAAGGGCTTCCCTAGTGGCGCAGTGGTTGAGTCTGCCTGCCGATGCAGGGGACACGGGTTCGTGCCCCGGTCTGGGAAGATCCCACATGCCATGGAGTGGCTGGGCCCATAAGCCATGGTCACTGAGCCTGCGAATCTGGAGCCTGTGCTCCGCAACAGGAGAGGCCACAACAGTGAGAGGCCCGCGTACCGCAAAAAAAAAAAAAAAAAAAAATCTTCCAACAAACAAAAGTCCAGGACCAGATGGCTTCACAGGTGAATTCTATCAAACATTTAGAGAAGAGCTAACACCCATCCTTCTCAAACTCTTTCAAAAAATTGCAGAGGAAGGAACACTCCCAAACTCATTCTATGAGGCCACCATCACCCTGATACCAAAACCAGACAAAGATACTACAGAAAAAGAAAATTGGAGACCAATATCACTGATGAATATAGATGCAAAAATCCTCAACAAAATACTAGCAAACAGAATCCAACAACACATTAAAAGGATCATACACCATGATCAAATGGGATTTATCCCAGTGATGCAATGATTCTTCAATATATGCAAATCAATCAATGTGATACACCATATTAACAAATTGAAGAATAAAAACCATATGATCATCTCAATAGATGCAGAAAAAGCTTTTGACAAAATTCAACACCGATTTATAATAAAAACTCTCCAGAAAGTGGGCATAGAGGGAACCTACCTCAACATAATAAAGGCCATATATGACAAACCCACAGCAAACATCATTCTCAAAGGTGAAAAACTGAAAGCATTTCCTCTAAGAGCAGGAACAAGACAAGGTTTTCCACTCTCACCACTATTATTCAACATAGTTTTGGAAGTCTTAACTATGGCAATCAGAGAAGAAAAAGAAATAAAAGGAATACAAATTGGAAAAGCAGAAGTAAAGCTGTCACTGTTTGCAGATGACAAGATACTCTACACAGAGAATCCTAAAGATACCACCAGAAAACTACTAGAGCTAATCAATGAATTTGGTAAAGCTGCAGGATACAAAATTAATGCACAGAAATCTCTTGCATTCCTATACACTAACAACAAAAGATCAGCAAGAGAAATTAAGGAAACACTCCCATTTACCACTGCAACAAAAAGAATAAAATACCTAGGAATAAACCTACCTAGGGAGACAAAAGACCTGTATGCAGAAAACTATAAGACGCTGATGAAAGAAATTAAAGATGATACAAACAGATGGAGAGATATACTATGTTCTTGGATTGAAGACTCAATATTGTGAAAATGACTATATTACCCAAAGCAATCTACAGATTCAATGCAATCCCTATCAAATTACCAGTGGCTTTTTTTTACAGAACTAGAACAAAAAATCATGAAATTTGTATGGGGACACAAAAGACCACGAATAGCCAAAACAGTCTTGAGGGAAAAAAACGGAGATGGAGGAATCAGCCTCCCTGACTTCAGACTATACTACAAAGCTACAGTAATCAAGACAATATGGTACTGGCACAAAAACAGAGATATAGATCAATGGAACAGGATAGAAAGCCCAGAGATAAACCCACACACCTATGGTCAACTAATCTATGACAAAGGAGGCAAGGATATACAATGGAGAAAAGGCAGTCTCTTCAATAAGTGGTGCTGGGAAAACTGGACAGCTACATGGAAAAGAATGAAATTAGAACACTCCCTAACACCATACACAAAAATAAAGTTAAAATGGATTAGAGACCTAAATGTAATACCGGACACTATAAAACTCTTAGAGGAAAACATAGGAAGAGCACACTTTGACATAAATCACAGCAAGATCTTTTTTGATCCACCTCCTAGAGTAATGGAAATAAAAACAAAAATAAACAAATGGGACCTAATGAAACTTAAAACTTTTGCAAAGCAAAGGAAACTACAAACAAGACGAAAAGACAACCCTCAGAATGGGAGAAAATATTTGCAAATGAATCAATGGACAAAGGATTAACCTCCAAAATATATAAACAGCTCATGCAGCTCAATATTAAAAAAACAAACAATCCAATCCAAAAATGGGCAGAAGACCTAAATAGACATTTCTTCAAAGAAGACATACAGATGGCCAAGAAGCACATGAAAAGCTGCTCAACATCACTAATTATTAGAGAAATGCAAATCAAAACTACAATGAGGGGCTTCCCTGGTGGCACAGTGGTTGAGAGTCCACCTGCTGATGCAGGGGACGCGGGTTCATGCCCCAGTCAGGGAAGATCCCACATGCTGCGGAGCAGCTGGGCCCGTGAGCCATGGCTGCTGGGCCTGCGCGTCCGGAGCCTGTGCTCTGCAATGGGAGAGGCCACAACGGTGAGAGGCCCGCATACCGCAAAAAAAAAAAAAACTACAATGAAGTATCACCTCACACCAGTTAGAATGGGCATCATCAGAAAATCTACAAACAGCAAATGCTTGAGAGGGTGTGGAGAAAAGGGAACCCTCTTGCCCTGTTGGTGGGAATGTAAATTGAGACAGCCACTATGGAGAACAGTATGTAGGTTCTGTAAAAAACTAAAAATAGAATTACCATATGATCCAGCCATCCCACTACTGGGCATATACCCAGAGAAAACCATAATTCAAAAAGACACATGCACCCCAATGTTCATTGCAGCGCTATTTACAATAGCCAGGTTATGGAAGCAACATAAATGCCCATCAACAGATGAATGGATAAAGAAGAAGTGGTACATATATACAATGGAATATTACTCAGCCATAAAAAGGAATAAAATTGGGTCATTTGTTGAGATGTGGATGGGTCTAGAGACTGTCATATAGAGTGAGTAAGTCAGAAAGAGAAAAACAAATATCGTATATTAACGCATATATGTGGAACCTAGAAAAATGGTACAGATGAACTGGTTTGCAGGGCAGAAATTGAGACACAGTTGTAGAGAACAAACGTATGGACATCAAGTGGGACAAGCGGCAGGGACAGGGGTGGTGGTGGTGTGATGAATTGGGCGATTGGGATTGACATGTATACACTGATGTGTATAAAATTGTTGACTAATAAGAACCTGCTGTATAAAAAAATAAATTAAATAAAATTCAAAAAAAAAGAAAAGAAGATGAGATATAAAAGGAAGTGCTACTACTTTCTAAATATGGTATTACAGTAATATGTATAAAGTCGATAACTAATAAGAACCTGCTATATAAAAAAATAAATAAAATAAAATTTATAACAAAAAATACTAGATGCCTAATTAAATTTGACAGGGGACGTGTTAACCTTTACCTGTATGTGTGTTTGCACATCAAACTCTTGAGCAGTATCTCCAGTGCCTGCCATTCAAATGCTACTCTCAACATGGACTCACCTGTAGGGGAACTGGGTCCAAAAGGGCACAATCCAGAAAAAGCAAGGAGGGTCTAGTACAGTTAAGTACAACAAAAATGGATGCTTTGGGGGCTGCTTTCTCAAGCTGATAGGTTTATTGGTGTGTCCTTGCTAGTTTAAAGGAACAGGGCCAAGATGGATGAATTCCTCTCCTGGTTTGGGTCTTAATGAAATATTAACGTGGGAGTAGTTAGGAGAGCCAGTCCTGGTTTTGGTCCAACTCCTCTTATTTTTTCATACTGGTCTATATCATTTGGTCCTCCATCTCCATCTCCTGGCGGGTCCAGGCAGGACTATCCACCCCCAAAGCTGAGAATGGAGAGAACAGAGATTTCGTTTTTTCTACTTCATTCATTTATTCAATAAATAGATATTGGAAACTTGCAATGTGCCAGGCACTAGTCTCAGAACACGGTTGGTAAACAGGGATAAAGAGTTTCTCTCTTCAAGGAGAATGTTATTTAGGTTATAGTACAGTTATGAGGAAATAATTACAACAGTCAATGTTGTGGGTTGAATTGTGTCCCTTCCCAAATTCATATGTTGAAGCCCTAAGCCCCAGTACCTCTGAATTGACAGTATTTATAGACAGGACCTTTAAAGAGTCAATTAGGGACTTCCCTGGTGGCGCAGTGGTTAAGAATCCGCCTGCCAATGCAGGGCACAAGGGTTTGAGTCCTGGTCCAGGAAGATCCCGCATGCCGTGGAGCAGCTAAGCCCATGCGCCACAACTAGTGAGCCTGTGAGCCACAACTACAGAGTCTGCGTGCCACAACTACTGAAGCCCACGTGCCTACAGCCCGTGCTCTGCAACAAGAGAAGCCACTGCAATGAGAAGCCCGCACACCACAACAAAGAGTAGCTCCAGCTCACTGCAGCTAGAGAAAGCCTGTGCACAGCAATGAAGACCCAATGCAGCCAAAAATAAATAAATAAATTTATTTAAAACAAAAGAGTTGATTAAGTTAAAGCAAGGCCATGAGAGTGGGCCATAATCTAATTTGAATGGTGTCCTCATAAGAAGAAGGAATTCTGACACAGAGAGAGACACGTGGAGGGGTCACCGCTCCTTCAACCCTTGGGTCCCCTTCTGATGCCTTCCTCTGGCCAGACCCCAACTGAGGGCAAGGGGGCCCACTGATAGAGTCCATACAGGTCGGCCTCCCAGGGCACTAGGTAGGATAGAGATGGTGAAGGTGGATTTTGAGGCACACACACAAAAAAAATTCAGGACGGGTATCCAACCAATTTGAAGGAGGATCCCAAATGTCAGTAACCCTGCACAGTACCTGGCATACATCACAGGGCATTCAGTAAATACTTGTAGAGTGGATACATTGGGCAAGTAATGATCATATCACGAATGGCCTTGAACTCTATAAAAAGAAACTTCTGCAAGTTTTCAAGCTTTAAAAAAATATATAGAATAGGAACCTGTCTTGAAAGTAAAATTGTATGAAGAACCTAAAAATGAAGTCTACAACCAGATAAAAGTGGAATTGCTTAGTCTGGGTTGGGGAGTCTGGTGCCCTGCTCACCTGGCCTCCCTGTTGCCTCCAGCTTCCCCCATTCTCTGCGTCCCCCCCCCCCCCCCCCCCCATGGCTTCTGCTAAGCTACCACTGAGGAGGCTGTGAGAAACCTAGCCTGAAAACCACTCTTGCAAGGCCATGCGGATGCCTCCCAAAGTAGTTACAACAGCAGCTTTACTCTGAGTAACGGGACTCCCTGACCAACTTCTTTTAGTGAACATTCTTCCTGACCCTTCCCGTACTTCTTCTTCCCCAATCCTGCAGGGTGGCTCTGTGGCCAGGGCCATTTTGGAGAGCAAAAAGTATGAGGAGAGAGCACTGGCCAGGGATGCGACTCAACCAAATGGGCAGGTGCTCCGGGACCTTGGGGCCGAGGTGGTAAAAGGCGACCTGAATGACAAAGCATCAGTGGAGGCCTCCTTGAAAGGAGCCTTCATGGTGACCAACTTCTGGGACCATTTCAGCAAAGAGAAAGAAGTGGGAACCACCTTTGAGCCCTTTCTTTTTCTCCTCCCTGGCTACTCTGCCCTCCCTGGAAGGCGGTAGGCTTCCTACCAGGCGGTAGGCGGTAGCAAAAATGTAAGCTTCCTAGCAGGCGTTAGGCGGTAGCAAAAATGTAAGCCTCATCCCAGAACATCTCTCTGGCATTTATGAAATATATGTACTTCAGGTACTTGTTAGAGGTGGATTGTTAGGTGATTGTAAAGTCAGTGTTATGTGACACCTGTCCAAATGTGACCTTGGGGATCTGACAGTGACCGTGTGGTGGAGCCAGCCATTAGAGCCCCTGATTCTCACCATTTGTTTGTAGATGGCACGTGAGGGGTGGCAGCAAGAACACTCCACAGATTAAGGTTACTCTGAGAGTGAGATGGGAAGAACAAAAGTGTAATGAATATGTTCACTTCTGGCAGAGAATTGGGGATGAATTAGTAATGGGTACATAGGAAAAGAAGTAAGCAAACAAGCAAATAAGCCCACGGTGATTAACTCCAGGGAAAATGAACATTTGTAGAAAAAGTAAATGTAACCATAGAATATCACATGGCTCAGCTTCAGCTGTGTAAGCACTGATGAATGATGTAGTCCCAAATTGTGATATGCTGAGGATGAAAAAAAGGGAATCATGTTTGTGTATGTGTGTGATGGTCATGGTGGGCTGTGTGTGTGTGTGTGTGTGAGAGAGAGAGAGAAACTGAGAGAGAGAGAGCCGAAGATGAGGACTCATCTGTCATAGTAGAAATTTGGTAGACGATATCTTAAACTGAGAAAAATCAAGAATTAGCAGTATAAACATATTATCTAGAAATAAAGAAGCAGCTGAAAGAGATGAAAATGGTATTTCTGGAGAGCAGTTATCAGCATGAAGGTGCAGGGAACTTCTTTGTCATTATGAGATCTACTTTCTCCCCCAAGACAGTACTATTTGAAAATTATACATACATATAAACTAGAAAAATATGAAGATTAGATTTTAAAAATGTAATGGATAGGTTCAGACTCTTTCAGAAATGGTACCATTCAAAAAGTTAAGAGCAGGATGGAGCCATTTTTGGTTCATTTGGCGTTCCCATGACCAGTGTCCCTGCGGCAGCTTACTTTGAAAACTTTCTTGGCCCATGGAAGCCAGTGAAAGCCTCTGATGGAGAGTACTACACCCTGGGCAGTGGAAGGTTGCCGTGAAAGCTAACCAGACACCTGCTGTCCTCCCCTCATTCCTCTCTCCAGTGGATGCATGCCATCTGAGTGCCTACCATGTGCTCAGCCCCATGTGAAGTGCTGAGAGGGACCCCACATTGCCCTAGACTTACCAGAGAGCTGGATCTTGGGCTGGAAACACTAAGGATTACACTTGCAGTCTTATCGTGCTGACACCCCTCGTATAAGCAGTGAGCCATGTGGCCTCAAGTCTCCGTTTCCTCATGTCTAATGGGGAAGCTGGACGAGATGATTTCTCCTACTAGCTCATCTCTCTGCCCTTCTGTGGCAACAGGGAAAACATTCTCCTCTTGACTTGGGTCCCAGGGTCAGAAATCCCTAGAGGGACTCTGACTCCCGGGGATGGGTTTCCAGCCCTGCCTGCAGAGTCTGATTCCATAAGTCTGGGCTGGGGCCTGGAAGACTGTAGTTTTGACAAGGACTCCTGGTAATTCCAATGCTGGCACTCCCCTGCCCTTTGGGGACATTTTCTTTGCCCATAGTCCAAGGGCGGCTCTGTGGAGTGGAAGGAATATGGGAGAATCAGTGTCAGCAAGTCAGTCTTTCTTCCTTGGCACATAATTAAGACTCATCAGGGGCATAACTAGTGGCAAAGTAGACCTGAGCTAGAACAAGGAGCACATGCCACACATCACAGACGACTTGGGTAACAGTTCAACAAGTGACAAGATAAATGTATAAAGGTGACATATCTCTTCACCCGCCCTTCTTCCTATGCCCTTACCAGGTTTCAGAAGCCAGCTCACCTGACGTTTCCGAGGTCGTGAACTAGGACATTGCAATCTATGGATTAGATTGGCCCTAGGTGAAGAGGTGATGCCTTAAACTTCTGGTGGTACCCAGACCCATTTGGGGTCTTCACATCTGTAAAACCCAGCCTCAGGTATCCCGGAGCCTCATCCCCTCCACCCCCACCCCCAGAGGAATAACTAACATTTACTAAACACTTACTGGGTGTTTGGTGTCTGTTTTACAGATGGGGAAACTGAGGCACAGATAGATTAACTTTGCCAAGGTCACTAATAAGGCAGAAACAGAACTTGAACTCAGGCAGTATGGCTCCAGAACCATATTCTTTTTATTTTAATTTTCTTGGCTGTGCTGCAAGGCATGCAGGATCTTAGTTCCCCGACCAGGGATGGAATCTGTGCCCCCCTGCAATGGAAGCGCAGAGTCCTAACTACTGAACTGCCAAGGAATTCCAGAACCACATTCTTTACTGCTGTCCCTTAGCTGCTTTTAAACTCAGCCCAAGAATCTCAACCTTCAAATAAAAACAAACCTCAAAGTCAGAATAGACTTGACTCTGAGTGCCTCAAAAAACTCGGACTGCTTTTTTATAAATATAAATTACAATTATAATTTAAGCAGAGGAATGAGCAGACATTTTGCCTACCAAGAAATTCAGGCAGGAAGTTAATTTTGCTGCAAAAGACAAGCTACGATATTTAGTCCCTGGTTGCTAAGCCTGAAGTCACTTTTATACTGGACTGAAATTCAGAGACCTCGATTCTTGTCCTAGGTTGTTGTTTTCTAACTGGGAGGCACTGAGTGAGTCAATAGACTTAGATTCTTCAGTTCAAAAATGAGAGTGCTGGAGCTAGATCATGTCCACATTGGGTTCCAGCCTCAGGAGTCTGGGAATCTATGAGAGGCTATATCACACTGCAGGAAGGGCACAGGCTTTGGAGTGACGGATGAGGGTTTGAACCCCCTTCTGCTGCTTACTGGCTGAGCAGCCTCAGGCAAGTACCTGATACTCCTATATTTCAAGGTTGTTTTGAGGATTAAACAAGCCAATATGTTTGCTCATTCATTCATTCAATATATATTTGAGGGCCTACTATGTGCCAGTCACTTACTGGGGAATCAGTAATAAACAGCTCAAAACGGACAAAGCTGAGCCCTCATTAAGCTCATATTCTGGTGGAGGAGTTAGATAATAAACATAATAGATGATAAGTAAAATATATTATATGTTAGAATGAGATAAATAAACATAATAGATAAGTAAAGTATATTATATGTTAGAAGGTGATAAGTGCAGTAAAAAAATAAGGCAGAGTAAGGTATTTGTGGAGTGCTAGCAGTAAGGGAGTTGTGTGTGAAATTTAAATAAGGTGATTGGTGGGCTTCTTTGAGAAGGTGACATCTGAGCAACGTCTGATGGAGGTAAGTAATGGGCTTTGTGAATATTCAGGGGAAGAGCTTTTCAGGAAGAGAGAACAGCCAGTGTGGCTGGAACAGAGCAAGTTGGGGGGTTGGGGAGAGGGTAGTAGGAGGTGAGGCCAGAGGTAATAGAAGGTCTGGTCCTGTAAGCCATTGGTTTTTCTTCTGAGAGACACAGAGAGCCATTGGAGGGCTCTGGGCAGACATGACATGAGCCAACTTTAGTTTTTACAGAATCACTCTGACTTTTGTGTTGAAAAGAGACTGTGGAAGGGCAAGAGTGGAAACAAGGAGCCCAAATTTGCAATAATCCAAGTCAGAGATGATGGTGGCTTAGACCAGGGTGATAGCAGTGAGGATGGTGAGAAGTGGTCAGATTCTGGACATACTATAAATAGGACTTCAAAAAAAAGGAAAGAATATGGGGTGGGAGAGACACCTCAAGGTTGACTTCAAGATTTTTGACTTGAGAAACTGGAATGATAGAGTTGCCATTAACTGAGATGGGGAAGTCCGTAGGGGGAGTGGGTTGTGCAGGAACTCATTTTGGAGCACCGTGAGTTTCAAATGTCTATTAAACAGTCAAGTAAGGATGTTGAGTAGGAAGTTGGACATATGAGTCAGGAGTTGAGCAGAGATGTCTGGGTTAGAGATAGCAGTCATACTTTTCACACAGGATATGCTTAGTAAATGGTCACTCTCTTTTTTTCTTTAAATCAACACCCAGGCATTACAGTATTTTTCTCCAGCAAACCTTATAACTGTGCATAGACGGCGGCTACTCAGTGTGCCCATCCCTCTTGTTTAAGTGGTGGGACCTACAAAGAATGTGACGTAATTAGCTATTTTTATCTTTTTTAAAACTAGCACTGCCCATGGGGGATGTACCAATGGATGGTATCTCTGTTGCTGATGTTGGAGAGGTCATCTGCAGCATTTTTAATTTGCCAGAGAAGTTTGTAGGCAAGACCGTGGGTCTCAGTGCAGAAGCACTAACAGTACAGCAATATGCTGATGCTTTGTCCAAGGGTTTGGGGAAAGAAGTCCGAGATGCAGAGGTGAGTTCTTAAGAGATATAAACGTGATCGCAAATGGTCACAGCCCACTAACTTACAAATTCTGGGAGACTTCCGACAGATTTGGGCAGGGTTGAGCTTAGGCTGTGGGAAACAATTGAAGAGGATTCCTGTTCCACGAATCTGTCTTCATCTGTTGGTGTATCTGAATTCCACCCTTATGACTTTATCGCTTTGGCTTCAGGTTAATCAGTTTATTAAAGTAAAATTCCTTTTGGGTGGAAAGAACTTAGACTCTGAAGACCGAGGTACAATGTTTCTGTATATGCTGTACCAACCCTCTCCTCCCAGGAGCTCATCACTGATCAGGCCAGTCTGCCAGAGCTGGTCTGCGTGGGGCATGGCACTTAGCCTCTCTGAGCTGCCGCTTCCTCATTCATAAAGTGGGATGAAAGCATCTACCTTGGGACGTTTTCCGAAAATTAGAGAGGATATATTTAAGGGGGTTAGCTTAGTGTTTGGCACGTAGTACGTATACCTCAAGGACCTATTATGTACCTGGTGCTATCTTTTAAAGCGTTTACAACAGAGTTGGGGTGAAAATGGTAATTTTCACATGAAGTCACAGTGATCAGTCCAAAGCAGAACACTGTGGGTGCTTAATTGTGTTACCCACACTCTCTGCGCTATAGGTGGTCAGAGAGGGTAGGAGAAGGCTTCATGGAAGAAGTAGCCTTGAGGTGGTCCTTGAGGGTGGGCAAGACTGTGTATGGGTGGAGGGAGCCATAGAGCTGGCCTGGCTAAATTCTAGAAACAACAGGAATGAACCAGAGGCAGTCTGGGGAAGTAAGCAAATCCTGGCTCTGCCCTTATCTATGTGGAGAATCTTGGCATTTACTTAACCTCTCCAGCCTCCCTTTATTCAGATGTTAAAAAGGTGATTATGGGACTTCCCTGGCAGTCCAGTGGTTAGGGGTCCTCGCTTCCACTGCAGGGGGCACAGGTTCGATCCCTGGTCGGGGAACTAAGGGCCCACAAGCCACGTGGTGTGGCCAAAAATTAAAAAAAAAAAAAGGCTATTACACCTGCCATAGGCTTGTTGTGAGGATGCAATGAGACCCACATGGGAGGGACCTGGCCCTGGGTGTGGCACTTAGTAAGCCTGCAATAACCGATCAGGCTGGAATGGCTACAAGAGACCTTTTATAGAGAAGCGAGGGGAATGGGTGATCCTGAGCACTGCCAGCCATTTCTCCAAGCAGGTGTTGATAAGAGGAAGGAGAGAGAACAGCGTTCCTGAGAAGGAAGTATGTGTTTGTGCCTGCCAGGCAGAGACACCTTCGCAGCTGAAAGGAAGACCCATACCTTCCCTCAAGCTAGCAGGCATTAACTAACATGGCTCTTTGCCTCTCTCTGCTGCTGTTGTCGCATCTGTGGAGGGGGAAGGTGGTTTGGATGACTACTAAGGCTCTACCCAGCACTAACATCTCTCCAGAGTAGAGACAGTCCCTTTTTCCTTACAGGGTTCCAGCCTGCTTTGGTAAATTAAGATTTATTGGAACAGAGCCATACCTTTGTTTATGTATGTCTCTGGCTGGTTTCAGGATACAGTGGTAGAGATGAGTAGTTGTGACAGAGACCACATGGCCGGAAGCCCTAAAATATTTATATCTAGCTCTTCAAGAAAAAGGTTGTTGACCCTTGCTCTAGAATGTTTCCTAGGATTAGGGATAGAGGGTTGGTTTTTGTTTTCTTCTGCAACTCTTGGGCCCTAAGTCTTGAGGGGGTATCTATATTCTCAGTTCACCTCAGGGACGGGAGCTGTGAGGAGGCTGAGAGATCTTTTGGGGGGAAAACTATTGTAGTTGTTAATCCAGCCATAAAACCACATCTGGGGAGCTCCTAAGAAGGCACCACCCACTCAAAAGATGGACTTGATGAGAAGGTCTGCAAAGTCTCTTATACCCGGGTGCAAATTTACTTTTCAGTGATTGACCCTTCTCCCAGTGCCTTTGAATTCGGGTCTTCTATTCATTTTTGTCTGTGGAGTCTGAACTCTGTAAAGTAGAAGGGGAGGAAGGTGAAGAGTGTGGGCATATGGTGTGTATGTGTTCATTCTCAGAGGACCGGGTAGATATTGTTTGGGAAGGCTCAGGTCTGTCCAAGCATCTCTCAGTCACATACCTGGTTTCTGACTGATTTTGGTACATCAAGCTATTTCACAATGCAGCAGAAACTTCTCTGGCACCCAAAGTTTTAGGGGATTAGAGGCTGGAAGTTCTACAGAATGGTTAATGCTGTTCTTAGTAACTAGTTTGACTTGAAGCCGCTGCCCACTGGTCTGGAGTGGGAAAATGCTTACAGGCTATGCTACTCTGGCGGAGGATGCATGTGGCCACAAGGTGGCGCCCCAGCCTTGGCAGTCTGACTTTTCCCCAGTCTGATCAGAAGAAGCCTGTTTGCCTAATTATTTCAGTGACTACTCCCCTCTCCCCCAGAACAAACTCCCACCAGGAACTCTGATCTGGCTGAAACTGCCTGTCTAGCCCCAAAAGGAACACGGTTCTCTCAGAAAGTGAGACACAACAGAACACATCTGTTTCCTTCAAAGATCTGCAGAAAAGGATCCCTTATTTTACTGAGGGATATTAGTTACCAAAGTTACAGGATGAGAGAGTAACTCAAGGAGACAGACATTTTAGAAGTCACCTTCCATGCTTTTCTTATAGCCTTCTATTTCCAGACTCACTAAAACTTAAATTTTTTTTCTGATTTCAAAAATTACAAATGCTTATTGAAGAAAATACACAAAATTATAAAAAAGAATATAAAAATCATATTGTTTAATCTATCAGAGATAGTAACTGTTAAGATTTACACATTTTCTTCTAGTCTTTTTCCAGTATATATGTAATAAAATTAAAACAACACGATATGTACAATTTTGTAACCAGCTTTTTCACTTGACATTATATTACGAGCATTTTTCTATTTTGTTAAACTTCTTCAAAAATATTAATTTTAGTAACTGCATGATATTTTTAGAGTAGATGTACCATAACTTATTTTACCATTCCTCTGTTTTTGGAGCTGCAGGTTGGTCTTGGTTTTTCATTATTATAAATAGCATATGACGATCATTGTTTTATATGAGTTTGCATCTGTCACATTTCTCTAAGGCCAGGTGGAATAGCGAGATTAGAGTTTATCTCTGGGGGCTAAAGACAGATTATACTGGATCCAATAGTTAGAAATGGTCTTAGCAGGAATTCCCTGGCTGTCCAGTGGTTAGGGCTCTGCGCTTCCACTGTGGGGGGCATGGGTTCGATCCCTTTGGGGAACTAAGATCCTGCATGCCACGTGGTGCAGCCAAAAAAAAAAAAAAAAGAAATGGTCTTAGCTGATTGATTCAGGCAGCAGAACTATTGCTCTATTTAGTGTCAGAAGGGACTCAAGGGGTGGGTTTTGTGGAGGGAGATAGAAGGTGGGTGTGTGATGGGCAGCATTTGTTGTGTCCGGCCCTGGCCGAGGCTGGGATGGCTGAAGTCGAGATGCTCATTTCCAATCAAGGCAAGGAGTGGTGATGGAAGGGACATGGGTCAGGAGGGAAGGATGGAGAGCCCGGTGCTTTGATGCTGCATGCAGGGCCGGATGGGTAGAAGATCTCAGAGGGCTGCTGAGGGAATCCCAGGAGAAAATGTTATGAAAGCTGGTCAGATGAAGGGGCTACAGATCCATAATACCTTATCCCAAGTGCTTGGGGTCAGAAACAGTTCCACTTTCAGAATCTTTCAGCTTTTAGATAGGTTATATCTATGTATATTATGCAACATCAACATCAGGGGCTGGGGCAGGACCCTATAATCAAACACATCAATATCTCTGCAGACAAAGACATGACTATTTCCACTAAATGGGATAATTAAAGACCAAAAATAACTTCCCATAAGTTCAGATCAGGTTTTGCCACCCAATCAGTTCAGAAAAGTCAGTATGTTGCCAAACTGCTTATGAAAAAACTTCCGTGTTTCTTGGGACTTGGCGTTAGGCTAAAGAACTGTGGACCTGTATCATCATGAAAGTGAATAATTTCTTCTCAAACTGTTTTAAATGAGGGCAATGACATTTCCCGTTTTTTCTTTTCTTTTCTTTTTTTTACTTGTTCTTAAAAGATCACCCTGGAAGCTTACGAGAAGCTAGAATTTCCTGCAGCGAAGGAAATGACCAAGATGTGTCATTTCTATCAAATGAAGCCAGACTGTGATAGCAAGCTCACCCACCGACTGAACCCCAAAGTCAAAAGCTTCAGCCAGTTCATCTCAAAGAACCAGTCAGCCTTGAAGGGCACTTAAGCTGTTCACACAGGCCCCTGAGCAAACAATGTCCTTCCTCCCAGATCCTGGTCCTCTTTATAGCACAACAACTATGTTTACAGAACAGATAGGTTAGAATACAATGGTTTACACCCCCAAAGGCTTCCCTGGCGGGGAACACTGCAGAGCTGATCTGACATAATAATTTGACCCACATATAACTTTCCAGCTACTTATAAGCATGGTACACCTGTTAGGTTAAATGAGAAGCCCGCAGCCTGTCACCTTTTGTAGCTCTCTCCCCAACAGCCCATTGCCTCAGAAGGCTCTGGCCTGAGGAACTTGGAGCGTCTTCCCTAACATGAATCAGTGGGGATGGGGGCACTCAGCTTTCTCCTTCATAAGTGATCCTGAGGCCTGTCTCTGGAACTGCCCTAGGCAACTCCTAGGACTTGTTCAAATGCATTGTCACATTCTCAGTGAAGTTTTAAGTGATTTTAATTTCTTAACATAAAAATCTTTGCAGAGTTTTCTGGGGAACATGGTGTTCAATGAACTGCACGAGTGTTGGAAACTGACATTCAGTTTTGCTTCAAAGTTAGAAGCTCATTTCTGATTCATTCATTAAATCATCATTCAATCACTCATCTTTTCATTCACCTACCCCTCATTTATCCATTTCACAAACTTTCTTTTTAGCACCTCTGCTTCTGTGTGTTTTCTTATTGGCGTGGTCCACCCTCCAAAGGCTGCCATGGCTCCTTCTCAGTTTTTGTTCGGCTTTGTGTCACGCCAGGGCAAGAGGGGCTATTACGCTACTTAGCTACGAGTGAAGCCCAGAGGCTCTGCAGTGGGTAAAGGCCAGGAGCTTGAGGCAGTGTCTGGGGAACAGTAGGGAAGTGGAAAGAGAAGGTGATGGAAGGGCTCCCGTAGTATCTTTGTATATCTCTGGCTTAGCATTTTCTACCCCGTACTGTAATTGCCTTGTTTACTTATTTTCCTCTTGGCTGTGAGAGACTTGCCCCCCTCTTTATCCCAGTGCCTGGCACATGATAGGTGATCAATAAATGTTGATTGACTAAATGAGTGAATAAAGTTATTGATCATACCGTTTCAAGAAGAGGGAAATAAACAGGTGCATGGGTTGGAGAGTGGTGAGAACCACCAATTGATACTGAAAGGGCAAGAGGCTGTCCACTTTCGGGAGAGGGGGTGAGTCCCTACTACTCTGGGGCAGGCAGCGGATGGGGCTGGCCGTGGCTGAGCAACGACAGGGTGGCAGAGCCTGTGTGAGAGGACACAGTGGCCTGGGACCTGGCTCAGAGGGGAGGCTCAGCAATGCCAAACATCAGCCTTTTTGTCTCTTAAGGTATCAAGTGGTATTTGTTGAATGAATGATGTTGAGGTGATTGCAGACAAATTTTGGTCCTTGAGGGGAAATTACTGTCAGTTTGAGGACCACACTCCTTTCCAAAAGGCACTCTCCTCATCCCCCGACTCTATCTGGCTCAAGCTCTCAACCCTGGGAAACGGGTCTGGATAAATTTCTAAAACAGGAAAAGAAAAACAAAACCCTAAACTAAAAATAGGTGGTTTATTACCCTTCTGGGTGGGCCAGGCAGGAAGAATGGCTGCTGTTTCCTAAATAAACCTCAGCATCCCCTAAATGGGCCTGCCTGTAGGCCTGCGCATCCCCTGGCCCCCTTGTATGTTCACTGGGTGGCAGGTTGGTTCTTTCAGCCTTTGGGACAAGGCTGGGGTAGCCCTGGGACAGCCCCACTATTGTTCCTGGAAAGCACAAGAAACCCTTCCTGGGTTTAGAAGCAAACTTTAGAAGCAGCCGATCGGAAATGAGTGCATTTTAGGGGCCTAGTTTGCATCTCCATCTCACACAACCAACAAGGGGAAAAGAGCTGTTAAAGTTGGTCTAAAACATTTTAACATTTTTAAAGAAAAGACGGGGGACTCCACCACTGCCCTCTCTTTTCTCCCCCTACAATCTCCAGGCCTAGGGAGAGAAAAGCTTCCCTTCCGAGTTGCTCAGGGTAGAGACCTGGGGACCCACAAGAAGCACAGCAGGTGGAAATGGGCTGTGCGCCACAGGGAATGCAATCACCCTCTGTGGTCCAGGGAATGGGTTGGGTGGGGGTGAGGGTGGAGGTGACAGAACAGAAGGGATGCAGAAGGAGGTATCTCTCTCTGATTCTAGAAATGTTCCTAGAAACGTTAGCTATGATGTCAGAGGATGCTGAATTTGATTCCTGTCTGTGCCACTGACTAGTTGTGTGAATTTGGGCAAGTGTCTTGACTTCTCTGGATTTCAGTTTCCCCATCCTCGCAAGGTGTGCTGGGAGGGCTACAAGAATAAAAGTGTAAAAAGCACTTTGGACAGTCTTTAGCAGATAAAAAGTACTCAGTAAACAGTAGCTATAATTATTATTGAGAATAACTCCTGCCTTCGCCTCCTTCGTATATCACCCTGAGTTCTGAGGTGCTCACAAGATGCTCTGGGTCTCCCCCTGACCTGCCACCCACCCGTGGCTTCCTGGACGGCAGGTTCATCTCGCCCTCTGCCGGGGGTCTGGTCCCTGCCATCTCCCTTTGCCCACCACTAGATGGCAGGACGAGCCTAGCATCTAGCATGAGAAAGGGTCGCTGCAACCTCATCCACCGGGATTTCTCCAGAGGCCTTTTTTTTTTTTTTTTTTTGAGGCAAGGAATAACAACTTTATTCAGAAAGCCGGCAGACCGAGAAGATGGCAGACTAAAGTCTCCAAAAAACCATCTTTCCAGGGGCCTTCTTTGGGAACAAGTCTCCAGGAGACAGTTATATGGTGCATATTACAGCCCTTCAGCCTTTCTCAGGATCTCTCAGTCACCCTCCACCGTCATTTCAACAAACAAGTGCTGGGCACCTTTCCTGAGCCTGGCATTGTGGGATTAAGGGCCTTCTCTGTGCCTGATGTGGGATTAACAAAAGGAAAGGAAGAGCCAACGTATTATCCAGAGGCTCCAGCACTGGGACCACAAAGGGTCCCCTCAGGCTGAGGGTGAGTTTTCTATGGAAAGGGGGCCCCAGGTCCCCAGCCCAGGAGCACAGAGCTCCGCTTCAGACTGGTAGCGAGGGGGCGGAGCCTGGGGACAGCGCTCCCGCCCCCGGCTTCTCCACCCGCCTCCTTTCTCCCGCCCAGGGGACACTTCAGACTCTGATGTCCCACCAAACTGCACAAAGAGCACAGACAATTCCCCAAAAGGAATTCGGGGCCTGCTGGGCCAAACACTGTGCACTCTCCAAAGCAGCTGTTCCGCGGCAACCGAGCCAACTCCTGGACTCCTCGCAGAAGTGAACAGGAAGGCAAGAGCATAAACTTTAAAACACCCCAGAATATGAGTTAGAGTATTTCTGAAGGGCTACTCAGCTAACTGTTGCAAGAGGACTAAAAACGTGCACACCCTTTAACTTGGCAGTACTTCTAGGAAGCTATTTTAAGTAAATAAACACAAATATTGATAAAAATAAAATTTCCAGGATTTTATATGGAAGTGTTGCTACTCATGAGAGTAAAAAAATGGAAATAAACTAAATGTTCAGCATTAAAGGAATGGATAACGAAATTACTGAATCGTTTTAAAGTTCCCTTAAATTTTAAATTCTTTAAAACTAGAATTTGTAAGTAATTTTACTGAAAAAAGCTTATTATGTTTCAAGTGAAAAATGTTGGATGTAAAATAACATTGTATCTAGGTTAATTAAAATTGTGTAAAGTACACAAGTACATAGGAAAATATTGAGAGGAAAACCACCAAGATGTTAAAAGTGGTTTTCATTGAATGGTGAGATTTTGGTTGGCTTCTACTTTCTCCTTTTATGTTTCCCCTTTCCTCCAGGTTTCCATAATAAAAATGTTAATTAGATATTGAAATTTTATGTAAAGAAATTACTTTTAAAGTTTAACGAATACCATAGATGATCTTAACTCTTCCTCATGTTTTGGCAACTATAATAATTGTTATTTACTATGTGCCAGCCACTATGATAGGAGCTCTATGTACATACTTTCACTAAATCTTTGTACCAACACTCTAAACAAGATTATCTTCTTATTTGACAGATAAAGGAACATACTTCAGAGGGTTTAGGTAATTTGCCCAAAGTCACACTATTACTAGGTGGCAGAGCCAGGATTTAAATTCAAGTCTGTGTGTCTGCAAAGTCTGTGAGCTTTCCACCATATCAGAACTTTGATCAATGCAATTCTCAACTTACGAAAGGACTGGGTCATCAAATTCATTCAGAGTTCAGTTGTTTGGAATTTGGGACATATTTTTCTCTTAGAAACTCTGTAGAAATGCTAACCTGCAACACTGTGTAAAGATCAATCCTCCAACACTGGTGAAACTACATCTACTCATATGCTGTGAAGCCACAACTTCCAATAAGGTGTTTCTTGCTAACCCTTTCTCCCAGGTGTACACCCGAGAGAATATCGAAACTAATATCAGAGTGAGGACAAGGCAGTACTTGGGGAAGTCATGAAAAGGGTATCTCAAAAGTGGGCTTCCCTGGTGGCGCAGTGTTTGAGAGTCCGCCTGCCGATGCAGGGGACACGGGTTCGTGCCCCGGTCCGGGAAGATCCCACGTGCCACGGAGCGGCTGGGCCTGTGAGCCATGGCCGCTGAGCCTGCGCGTCTGGAGCCTGTGCTCCGCAACGGGAGAGGCCACAACAGTGAGAGGCCCGCGTACCGCCAAAAAAAAAAAAAAAAAAAAAAAAGTGTATGTGTGCAGGGGATTCCCTGGCAGTCCAGTGGTTAGGACTCTGTGCTTCCACTGCAGGAGCACAGATTTGATCCCCGGTCAGGGAACTATATGATCCTGCATGGCACACGGCGTGTCCAAAAAAAAAACACGGCATGTCCAAAAAAAAAAAAAAGTGTATGTGTGCGGAAAGAGAAAGCAGAGTCAAGGTATGACCTGGGGTACAGGCAAAAGCCATGAGGTCTGAATGGCTGACTGTGTGAAGGCATCCAGGATAGGTTTG